ACTCCTGCTTACCATGTGGATGCATTGCCAGTTGCCGATAAGAGGGATTTGCAGGCTTGAGTCCCACTCCAGGCTGATTCTTTTTTCCAAAATATTCTAAATTATTTATTAAATATTAATTTAATTATAGCATAACTGGCATAATTATGGTTGCTACCCACAAGTATGCATTGCCAGTTATGGGTAGTGTAACTGGCAACACATCCATATGGCAAGTGGGATTTGTGGATTCGAGTCCCGCTCTCGGACAATCCTTTTTTTTCATAATATTCTAAATTAACTTTATAATTAATTTAAATTAAATTAAATTAATTAATTTAAATTAAATTAAATTAAATTAATTTAATAAACATTAATTTAATTATAATTATTAAATTTAATACGAGATGGTGTTTAATACCTCCCTCTAGTGAAAAATTATTTAGAAATTAATAAAATATAATTGTGAAAAGTAGCCCGATGTAATTTGGTGGTTGTTTGGCTTTATAAATTTATCAGGTTTCATGATGATTGTTTATGTAAATTATTATTATATTTTTTGGAACAGAGAATTTTGTGTGTTCATTGTTTGGCTTGTTCTTTGATTTCTGGATATAACGATGGATCTATATTTCATCTTTGGTTGTAAACAAGTACACAGTCTTTTGGATTACGACAAAAACACCCCAAAAGGTTGCGGTTGCAAGAAACAATTACACGATTCATTTCTTTCACATGAGCAAACAGCACTCATCTTGTCTGTTTTTCATTCCCAATTCTCTGTCAGAATTTTATGCATACTGACATTTAATATGCTTACTATGTCTGCTGTCTCAGACACTTTTATTTGACAATCATCAAATACTATACAATGAACTTTTTTAAACATATTTGGAATAGTAGCTGTGTTTGGACATCTACTTCACTGTTTTTCAGTTATCTCACATGACCATGCTTATATTCTGTAACCCAGTTCTTAATTGTTGAAAACAAAGAAGGAGATACCAAAAGTGTCATATCTAACTCTGCTTTCATTTTAGTGGTGTTAATCCTTTCAAATGAAAGTACTTTATTACTGTAACAATTGTGTTTTTTGAAGGCATGGAAAATACCTAATGTGTGTTACATAAATCAAAAACAAGGGTCTGTCGGTGCTAGGTCTGGACTTTTAAACAGGCAAAAAATTTATGAACGAATATGTTAATGTATAAAAAGTCTAAAACAATTACTTTATTATATGTAAAAAAGGAGAAAAATTCTATTTATTAGTCTTTGACTGACTACATACAATATAAAGTAAGTTAGAATATTCAAATAGAAAAGGATGCTTTATCTAATCAAATACCAAAAGCAAAGTATATACAAAAACTTTTCTGACACTTGGGAAACTTAAAATTAACTTAGAATAATTTTAAACTATCTCCACAAGAACTGACAAGAAATATGAAACTGGACTATATTTAGGATATTCAGAAGAATCTTAGTTAACTCATATAACCATCACCAAGAAGAAACTTCTAATCTGCCATCCAGTTTGAAAGCTTTTTTTCTTAACCTCACTTGATCCTTCACCTCACCTTGTCAATTTACAGTTCTTCTCCCTTACAGTACTGGGATAGTGATGTTACATTATTATATCCACTTGATCCTATTTACATACTTATAGTTAACAGTTATTTATTTCTAGCAATCTTCTTTACATGTCATGTCATCACCCTCACATTATTTTCTTTTTGAATTTTCGGAGACAGTTTGTGGTGGGAGTTCATTCTTTTAACTTCCCTTCAGAAGTCTCTCCCCCAAGATGTCATTTCCAGGTTGATGATGTATTTGATTTACCCTCAGCTGTCGTCTGAGTAAGGTGAGTATTGTTTTTTAGTTTTAGAATTTTGCTCGAGTGAGGTGAGGTGGTCTATTCTTAATGAAATAAAATTTCCCAAAAATAAATAGAAAAAACAAACTAAAAGTAATCCCCAAACAAAATAAAATGGGTTGGAATTGACTCCTTACATTACTGCTTGCAACTCAGTTTTGACAAACTCAAACAATTCATAATGAACAGAATATCGTTATACTGTTATATTTGACATTGGAATGAATGATAGTAGTAAACAATAATAAAAATTTTGTTACATTAGCACCATAAGTTGGTTAGACCATGGACTTCTTGATTGATCTTTGTAAGAAGGCTTGAAAAACATAACATGAACAGTTATGTTTCGTTCAATGGGATCCTAATACTTCATATGACATTTTGAGTCTTCAGCTCTAGCATAGAGTGGATGAGTTTCTTCAAATGTTTGATATTAAACTTCTGTAATATACTGCTGTAGTTGATGTTTATTTTTAGACTTTATCTGTGGTTTTTCTATTCAAAATATGTCACCAGTTCTCAGTAAAGTTGAGATCAGGATTGTCATCAGGCATGGTGATATATTTTGGTTTGGTTTACAGTGGGTGATCGGTTAACGAACAGATCAGATAACGAACAAATCGGATAATGAACACTTTTGCGAAAGATTTTTATGTTCGGATCGGATAATGAACACCCCACAGAACAAACACAAGAAGAAGCGACGTAAAATAATGAATACCGATTGGTCTTCCCTTGTCTTCGGGCAACAATTCGAAACTTTTCGGAGGTATGGGAGACATCGACATCGACGCTCAAGCCGGTATATACCGATCGGATAGTATTCCTTCGAACTTTGAAACTTTCTCTTGTAATGCCAGCCTTTTATTTTTCTGACAAAACAATTCTTTTATGTATTCGCGAGACTGTCGGGTAGGCACTTGTTAAGTTTTGCGTCTGTTTTTCTTTTCGAAAGGTGAGAGTATAATAGCAAAGGTAGAGAGTGGGCAGAAGATGCCTAATGTTGCTGGGCA